ACAGTAGAATTTATCGCTTGTAGAGTTTTGTCAGGTATTACAAGCATACTTTGGTCCTCTGAAACAAACATATTTCGAACTGCATCAATTTTCGAGTGACTTTGCATGATTATTCCAACAGCACACAGAGGCCCGCACGAATGGATACAGCAGTAGTAGCACAAAGTATGGAAAAACTCTTTTCTACAAAAGTTAGTTTAATCCTAGAAATTAATATCCTGATTCTCCGTAGCAATCAGCAGTGTTTTATCCTTAAGACAGTGCGTACCATGTGTAACAGACCGGCTACACCTTGATCAGGTTTGCCAAGACGAATTGTAACCGTAAGGTGCAGGTATTTATCGGCATGGCATGAAATCGCACAATCTCTGGTATAACAGCAAAAGAACACCATACTCTGCTTGTTATTTGAGGTTCAACGATTAGCTGTCCCATTACCGCCTGACTGCACGAAGGCACAGTGCAATTAATTATTTATTCAAAAGACCTGACATTTAATGAGAAGTGTTACGCCATGCACGGGATACGCATAAGGTTTCTCTTAAGTGCAAAACAAACCCGCTGCGCAACTGCTACGGTTAATCGGTTTATTAATATCCTTACTCTTTGGTCATATAAATGTATATTAAAAGTTGCAGAATTTCACGGCCATCAGTTAGCAGCCAATTGGCAGAACAGTGTGATGTTTTAAGAAGTTTCAATGAACATTTCTAGTAATGGATGCAGCAAACAATGATTCGCTGGCTATTATCATCACTTTTATCAAAGTTTAACCATATCACTCTGGACTGACGGATGTTTTAGAGCCTGTTTAATCGCCAAGATGCCAAAGTGCCTTGGTGTCTCAGGTACACAATAAAATCTGTTTTTAATGCTTCCCGAAGCTAAAATGTTTTTTCCTTGAGCTGATCGTTGAAAAATGAATTTATCCTCGCACGAACAGAAATTTGCCATTAAAAAAACACATTGATTCAGCGTTTCATGACATCTCTGAAATGTAGAATACTAACACAATTTCATAAAGAAAGGAAAATGTAAAGCAAACCAAGTGAGAAACAAATCAACAGTTTCAGGACACCAAAAAGTGAGGAAAACTGAGGGTGCTGCATCGAATTAAGTCGAA